GATAGCTCCATTGTAAGCTCAGACCACCAGCTGGTAAAAGATGGAACCTCTTGTCCCATAATGCACTAATACAGACAAATACACAGACTGACACTGATAGGGTTGAACAGCTTTTGATGAGGCATGCTGCCATGGAAACCAGTCAGGAAGCTATGAGTGGCGCGTGTGTGTAAGTCTGGTTCTTGGGGAGTGGATCTTACAGAGATAGTAGCTATGGAGACACACTCACATAGGAGCTCCTATGCACAAGTGCAGGTGGATTCAGAGCACACACAGTGCTTCACAACACCAGGGCTGTCCGGTCAAGTCAAAGATTCATTTTCTAACTGCTGTTGGTGCCAAACGTCAGGCTGGTGACATTTCACAGCACTGCGGAAGTAGGTCATGACAATAGTACATCAGTGCTAAGAATACAGTGGTGAGAGGACCAGCACTTTGAAGACTATGAAACCATGCTGGACTAGTCCATGTAGCACTACAGTAAGTTTAAATGGACAGCAGAAATATTATTGAGAGCATAATGTGTTACTAAGCATTAGTCAATATAATCAGAGCACAGAGGTCTGTGTGGGCTCACCCTGCCTTTGGCTGTGAAACATGGACGCTTCAATCCAGTCCCAGTGGAGGACAAAAAGTGTCACCTGTGTGATTTGGATGAGGCTGAATATTATACTTCTATTGCAATGATTCCCTACCTTTTTCCTTAAGGGACCCCTTTTCTATCATTGACTAAACTGCTGAGATATTTTATGGATATTCTATATTATATTCAACGCATAACAATAACAGTAGAGAACAACTGATAAACTATAAATAGTGAGCAAAATGTTTTTTATTATTATTTTGAGCAGATTATATCCTGTGAATATTGATCAGAGATTAGTTTTCCTGATATTTTTAGGAACTTTTTTTTTTTCAATTCTGTCTGTATTTTTTATTTTTAACAATAGGCTTCTTTTGAGTGTATTTTCAGTCAAGTTTCTGTCAAGTTTTCAGTGTTTTCTTCTCCCTGATGCTTTTTTTTTTTTTTTTTACTGCAGAACGATGAGATATAGGCCTACTGTATACATTTTTTAAGTTTTCTTACACCCTGTAATAACAAGAAGGCCTTGCAAGCCCCGTGAAGCTTTGCTGACCCCCAGGTTGGGAATCAATGGTCTATTGACCATTGAGATGTCTGCCTTCTCGCCAATATAATATAACCAGCACCAAAAAATACATTGAACAGTTTCATGTAGAAACCATTTTCTTTCTACGTATCACAACACAGAAGGTGTGCATTTTTTGAGCTATGTAGAAAGAAAGTAGTTACAGGTCTGTGGATTATCTTGAGTAACCAGCTCATGATTTCTGGAAAGAGACATTGTAGTTGAGTTTTTCAAATGTGTGGGTTTGGTGTTTTTTGTCTTTTTGTGCTTTGAGCCCCACAAGTCAAGTGCCATCTGGTTCTATTATACTGGAGAGAAGGCAGACATCTCTACAGGATATCATCAAAACTGACACCAAAATAATTTAGATGAAGAAATAGCAGTACAGGTTATTTTAGATTTTAGGGCGAACTGTCCCTTTAAGCTTTTCCTGAAAATGTCTGTTAGACATCCCAGTCTGTCTGACAGGACAGAAGAGTATACACTGTTAGCTCTCCTACAGCAGGATATCTGTGTTAGGGTTGGGCAATATATCAATATTGTGATAAGAGATTAGACATTGTCTTAGATTTTGAATATCATAATATGGCACGAGTGTTGTTTTTTTAAAGGCTGCGTTACAGTGAAGTGATGTGATGAGTGCTGTCCTATTAGTGTCCTTTACCCACTTAGTCATTATATCCACATTACATATGATTGAAAGCACTAGTTATCCCTATATTTGGTCAAAAATATCATGATATTTGATTTTGTCCATATCACTCAGCCCTGATCTGCATTTAGATACCCAACATTTCCTACTGCTGCTGCACAATAAAACTAGTGAACTACGGGGTGGCTTTTATTGTGAAAAAGCCATAGGAAATGTCATTTATTTGTCTTGATGTTAGTGCTGACTGTCATTCATCACTTATCTTCATTTTCAGCAGATCTTTTTATTTTTTGCATTATAACAGTAGATAAATTCAATGGCAGATTAACTGTAGATAGATTTTAGGACACACAGTAGGTGCACAATCAATAACTCTGTTCCTACAGTGGAAAGCCCTTCTATGGGAGTAGAGAAGCAGTGGTCAATATTTACTGTATACCTATGATAAATGTTATTTCAAGTTTAAATCCAGAAGTAGAATACAATAGCACTGCAAGCCTATAATACTGAGTTTGTTGATAGTGACAGAGACAGTTTAATTTAATTCTGTGGTGATTTATGAGGCAGTATTTTGCATGTAGTCATTATATTGAGAGGTGTTTATAATATTCTGGCTCCTCGTGCACTGTAAATGGAGGTTTCTATATAAAGGAGTGAGAGTGCATTTTTGTGTCTCAGATTGTGACTACACACCCGTGCCAGAAGCTCAAAGCCCACTCTGAAGGTATGATTCAATGACTTGAACACAGCCGATGTTGAGATAAGCTCTATAGTAGGCGTAGTTTGACAGGGTACATGGTGGCAACGGCAAATCAAATCAGGTAGAAGAACCCAACTGTGTTAAGGACAGTGGTGCGCCCACACTAATGAAATATAGAGCAAAGACTAACAAGGACAAAGATGGCCTCAGTGTCTCTTTCTTCCTGCCTTCTTTGTTTGCTTTTGCTATCCTTTCAACCACTCAGAGTAAAGAGAAACTGCATTACAGAAATCCCTCAGGCAGAGATTAGCATCTCCAGTCACTAATGCTAGAGAGGAGAAGGGTGGCTGGCTGCTCGGCAGACATGTGGGAAGTCACAGGAAGGACACAGCGTTTGGTTTCCTTCTGCACAATACTTCGGTCTTCTTTGAGCATCATTGGAATGAATTGGAGGATCATGTAGCTGTTGATCCTGGGTGACCAGATGAGAATAGGTGAAATCCAGGACTAGGCAGTTGGGGGTGGGCGTGGTCACGTGGCCACTTATTCTAAGTGTCTTGGCTGTGTTTACACAGCAGCTAAGATTGTCATTAAGATGTAGGAGCTTACAAACACATTATTTTAGATATTTTTACTATAGATCTCAGTGGTGGCTGCACTCTCCGTTATCTGGTTTAAAACAGGTCAAATTACATAAACAATCTGTTATTTGTGCCTAATCAGTGCAACAGACAAGTGGAAACAGATCAGTACTCAAATATTTCAGACAAACAAAATGATTTTAGCCTGCATAACATTTTCATGGATTCAGAGAAAAACAAACTACAAATTCATGTAGATTAATCGCTGATTCAAAGCTGCAGTAGGTCATTTTTATAAAAATTACTTTTTATCATATTTTCTGAATCTTTATATCCTGACAGTAGTAAATGAGACAGATAATCTGTGAAAAAAATCAAGTTCCTCTGGCTCCTCTTAGTGCTCCTAATGGCATTTGAAGGAATCCACCGGGCCTGAACGAAAACAACCAATCAGAGCCACGGAAGATAATTGGTTGTTGAGTCTCATTCACAGGTCATCAAATACAGATGCTTTGGGACCCTGGGCACGAGACTCAACAATTAACTACTTTCCAGTCTCAAACCCAAAGTGTCTTTATATCTTTCTTGGCTCTGGTTGTTTTATTTCAGACCTGGTGCATTCTTGCAAATGTCATTAGGAGTACTAGAACAAGCCAGAGAAACCTATTTTTTTGCCCATTATCTGTCTCATGTACTACTCTCAGGATATAGTGAAAGTTTCAGTCAATACAAAAAAATTTTTTTGATAGTACATAGCTACTGCAGATTTAATGGCACTTTCTCATCTTCTTTATTCTGGTGTCAGAAACTCTATAGTCTTTTGTTTTTAATTATTCATGACAAGTTGGCAGCACTTCAAAATACATTCACTGCAGGAGTTTTCAACATTACTGAGTCACCAAGTCAGCTCTACTCAGCATTTCTGCTTTAAGTCTCCAGTCAAGTCAAGTCTCATAGAATACATAGAGCTAACAGTTAAATTTCAGGACAAGCAGGACAGGGTTCTGGACAACTGCTTGTAACTTGAGACTGTCCTGAATTGTTCAGGACGTTTGGCCCTATGTTGATCAGTGTTGATCAGTCACGTTTTTGTGGCAGCTGTAGTTTAAATCACACTTTGCGTAACCATAGAAAATTGTCCATCAAATCTGTCATGCCCCCCAGCTACTGCAATTAAACTCCACTGCCACTTCTGATTATTATCAATCAGTTAGAGTAACTGCTTTGAGCACATGAGATTAAATTGATAGACAGATTCCCTAAAGGAAAGTCTACGACTGTTATAGTGAGTATTCACACTTAGAATGCAAGTTTTTGGGTCTGTTGCTCATCCTTCATATGAAGTGATGTGTACACTCAGTTGCCAAATTACTAAATCACCTCTCTAAAACAGGTAGAATTTATTGCAAGACTTAGACTGCGTTAGTTTTAGCTAGGTGTAAATTTGCAACTGAATGTATAGGAGACACCAACATTATCCATCCTAAACAGACCTTCGGTTTTGGTGATCCATGCTTACAGCTTGCAATATTATGTTCACTGACATTATGCATATCCTGAAGATGACAGCTAACAAGGGGAGTTGCATTATCAGAGGTAAAGATGGTAGAGATATGAGGTTATGTACAATTAAAAGCCATGGTCATATGAGAAGGTCGATACCACTCTCTAGTCTGTATGATAAATATGAAGCTACAGCCAGCAGTCCGTTATCTTTGGCTCAAAGACTAGAAACAGTCCAAAGGTAACGAAATCCACCTAACAGAATCTCTACTGCTTACTATGTTTCTGTTTAAAAACCAGACCAACATGTTGTACATTACTGAACTAGCTGTCAGCAGATTAAGTGTAGTTGATATACACAGAGTAGAGTAGAATCTGCCATGCCAAAAACCGCACACAGATGCATTCCCACTCACGTTGACATAATGCACCAGGCTCTCCTGCTCATTGACTTTGTAGGTCTTCACATCATACTCGGATGCCAATCTGAGGATGCGGTTTTGAGTTGGTCCAATGTAAGCCCCGCCCAGATCAACCCACTTTGTTTCCTTATTCTGAAAAATAAAAATAAAAACATAAACATAATAAAATACAAATGTAAAAAAATACACATTACAGAAAATGTTGAAAATATGCTTTAGGGCTGTCTTACAAAAAGGTCCTAGTCTAATTCTCAAGTAAAGATAGGAAGAGTCTTAAGATTTCTGAATTTTTCCTAATTTGGTATTACAGAAGCAAAACTAACTTCAGGAATCGTATCTTGTCTTACTTCTTTCTATTAGGTTAGGATATCCTGAATACTCAATCCAATATTGCTGATCAACTATTCCCTAGCAACTGACTCTTGCCAAGCTTTGTAACTGTTGTTTTTTCTTAGGCACTTAACTTTAAGATGGATGACTTAGAGGTGTTATTAACATCTGTAGAGAAATGCAAATATGTTCTTTTTGGGAAATGTATTCTGTAATATGGCCACTGGCCTTCAGAGCAGCCTTTGACTCTGTTGATGACAGAAAGTCTCATCAATAGGTTGGAAAGCGTCCTACCTATCAGATCAGAACTTTTTTTGTCTCATTGCAAAGAACATGTATGGAGTAACACATTGCTGTGTCCTGGGTCCACTACTTCTCTTTATATGTTGACACAAGGGGGTAATCATCCATAAACAAAGCAGTGATTTCACTGCTATGCAGATGACACACAACTCCACATAGCTGTGGATCCTGATAACCTGACCCTGATATTCTCCTTTGAGAACTGGACTGAACTTTGCTCATACCTTTAAATGCAATTTTTTAAACTATTTATCATTTTACTTCCTTCCCTTCTTAATTTTAACTAATAATGTCTGCTCTTCTGTTTTTAATTTTAAAACCATTTGAGCTCAATTTTGTGTTTGCAGGGTGATATAAAATATAGTTTAGTAGTAGTATTATTGTTATTATTAATAATAATAATAGTCCCTCAACAGCAATATACTGGACAAAACGTCCCTTTTAATAGCAGCATCTCCTGGTCTTACCCGCACAGTGAAGGTGCGACCACCGACCCGATCCCTGGCCTCCAAGACTACAGGGCTCAGTCCATTGGCTTTCAACAGCTTCGCTGCACTCAAACCTGCAGCAAAAGAAATAAAGAGTTGAGGACATACAATACACTTCCTGAACCACACATAGACAAGATATGAATAATATAAACACAGAAATGGAAAAAGTCCATCAAATTATATGACAGAATAGCTTAGTGTCACATCTTTCTTGAAAGAACTGTTTAAGTTACCCTTCATGATCAGGTAACTTTCAGACAGAAAAGATAGATGAAGGGAATCATTTGGAAAATCTGACTAAAATAATAAATATCAAAAGTAGATTTTTGCATAGAAACAAATTGCGTTTCTCTTCTACAAGTCAGCACACCATTGTACCATTTACACTCATGCCTGTTTGTTTGAATTGTGTTTTTTCTGCTTTTATACTAAGTAGTTTTTTTCTTGTACACAGGTCTTTCTTGAAATAGGATTAAGTGAGGCTGGATATGGGAGAGCTATGGGAATGATGGGAGAGCAGGGGGAGGGGGAAATCCTTGCAGGCACAGGGAGGAGAGAAAGACTTCCACAACAAATTACAAACCAGCTGACCTGCTGATCATGTGAGGGAAAAGAGAGGGCAGAGCAGAGACAGAGAGTAGCAAGACTTTCACAGACACTGACTGACCATCCACAGAGTCTATGGCAGAACAGGCTAAGACAATGGCTTTCACACACAGACCTCAGGCAATCCCTGTCAGAACTTTAATTCAATAAGACATATCATAAATGCACTTAGGCATGAACCCACATATGAAAAGGAGTTGTGTACAGCATATGGCTCAGCAGCACTGGACATCAGTGCAGAAGACCCCTGTAGAGCACAGAAACATGAGAGAGAGTGATAAGATAGAGACGAGTTACTTACAAGATCCCACCGATCTATCCCACCGAAGTATGTGGATGCATTTTTTCATAACACATACACACACACACACACACCATTAATAGACTAAGAGCATACACTCATAAGATATGGCTTAGAGTTTTCATAAGACAAAAAAAAAGCAAGTGATATTCATAAAAAGAATTTGGGAAAAAAAAAGTGATTGGACCCAGTTTACATGGACAGTCCATATGGAGAATATTAGATTAGAAGGGATTTCAAGGCTTTTTTAAACTGCTGTGATGACAAATTAAAAACATGTAAAGGCGAGACATATTTTGGACCCTCTGTAGAATATACTAAACAGAGATTGGGAAGTAGGGGAATGATGCTTTACTATGTGCCACAGTTTTCTGTGACTGTTCAAATATCTTTATTTGGGGGCTTTTCCAAGCAAAAATTGATATATGTGATTGTTTTTGATTAAATCAGCATTTTGTTTGCCACCCCTTAAAGTCTATATGACAGCCTTTGGACACCCCATTAAATTTCTCTAGATCCACCTATGTTTTTAAGGAACCCTGAACAAATAAACCAGTCTAGAGATGGTTCACTTGATGAACACTGAGGATACCTAATTGGCTCTAAATACAATACTCATGAGCCTCACCATTGTTGCTAAGGAGAAGAAGCCAGTCAGAGGTGTGATAATAGCTAGATTCATCCTAAAGTGCCAGCTGTTAGCACTGCACATGACATTATTTTAAGCTCTGTGATTGGAAATACACCTTTGGAGTTGTAGCTGACTTAATTAATCAAAGAACCAGATATTTTCTAACTTTCTGGTGAGGATTCCACTGGTGAGAGTTTCATGCAGATCCAGGCTATAGACGTGCTCCAGTTGTGAGTCACCCAATACTGTCTATGAGAAAAAGGAATAGACTGAGGGACAAGAGCGAGCCCACATCTTTCCAGTCATTCCAAAATCCTAATCCTGTCACCATGGCTGAAGGCTTGGCTTGCCCAATGTATCCCCCACAAACAGTTAAACTGGATGTGTGGAAATAGAATAGATTCCAAAATAAAGAACAGGGAGATGTACTGATCTGAGGTCTGTTTTTTTTACTAAATGTGAGGTTAACTGATTCCAGTATGTTTTAGTGCCATTTTAAGCATATTTTGATGATTATATGGATAATATTGTGAATCGCAATTATTTTGGCCAGAAATAATTATGACATGAAATTTTCATATTGTCCCATGCGTAATTGAAACAGGAAAGGGCCTTTGTCACACTATTGTCTAAAATATCATTGTATGCTTGAGCATCAAGCAGTCCCTCTAGGATGTTGCAACAGCAACAATTAGTGCAAATTGAATGTGAATTGTGTGCAACCTTGCAATTTTGTCAAATTACCAAAACCTTTCCACAAATTTGACCATTGTAGTTTCCTTTAGTTAATCGAAATATTATCAAAATCGCAATATTACGGAGCCCCTAAAGTCCCCAGAAAAAGGAGAGATATCGTGTTTTATGCTTTGTGCGCACAATGTAACTTGGGAGGTCTGTAGGTGGGGGCGTTTCAGGGAAGCTAGGGTGTTTGCTGATTCCTGTCAGCTGTGTTTGAGGAACATGCTTCGTGTTAGTTGCTTGTGAATTTAAGCCAGCAATTGCTATGTGAGTTTTGTGGGTGAGGCTGGTGTGATGAAGATATGTGAGAGAAAATAAGGTTTCTTGTGGTATGTCGCCCGTCTTACTGAAGTGTCCATGCCCCTCTAAACAGAATCTGGCAGACATTCAGATTTCAGCAAGAGCAGCAAGAATTTCATGGTATGACATTCCGAGGTGAAAATAAAACTTGATAAGCTGAGTTTTCTACATTATATGATAGCTGTGTGCATCTGAAGCCTTTAGAGACGCATATGAATTTATAGTAAATTATCTTTTGCGCAGAAGATAAATACATTTCCTTTTAGGGACTTTAGGGGCTCCGTACAATATGGCCAAGCACAATATCCAAATCACAGAAGCTGCAATGTTAAATTAAATTGTTAAAAGTAAAATGTAACTGCAGAGTACTGCAGAGATGCCCTGACCTACAAATCCAGATGTAAGAAAACCTGTTTGTTTGGCCCAGACCTCAACAAACGTCACATCATCCTTTACTTCTGTGAAAATTAAATCACAATATCTAAAATCAAAATTATCACAATATGATGTTTTTTTTTAACCAGCCCTATTTTCCTGCAAGTTTAACCAACCAAGCAAAATCTTGAGCCATATGTAGCCAAACTCACTTCCTTGTTACTAGCTGTGAAGACCCAAACATGTGACACGAATGTCTCACATCTACCAACTTAGCTTGCTGCTAAAGAGCGTGCAAGCGAAATCCCTGATGATGACGTTCTTGGTGAAAGTGAAGCGCTTCACACCTTATGCAACAATGTGGTGGACAAAGTCAGCAAGTTCTTTCACTATTTACACTACTACTAATATAGAGAGTGGCTGAAACACGTGGACAACAGACAAGACAAATAACAGTGACAGAGGCTATTGTATCCAAATCCAATGTGCTGAAAAAATTAAGGTGAGTTAGATTAAATATGCAGGGTTAGTGGTGCTGTTAGTGTAGTTACGTATAAATCATTAATTGATAGTGACATGCTTGCCTCTTGGTGTGACGTGTGTCCATTCTGACTGGAACATGTTGCCTTTGATTTTTCATGAATTATACAAACAAATCTACTAACTATTTTTACAGTGTTCACTTTTCCCTGCAATTTCATTACAAAAATGCCTAAAAACTAGGTCTGCAATTATCCAATAGAGACAAACACCATTATTGGCATTATAAGTACTGTAGTGCTGCAGAGATGCCCTGGCCTACAAATCTTGTTCTCCAGATGTAAAGTTGTTTGCTAAAGATCCCAAAACAATTTTAATAGTTTTTTTATTGAAAATTAAATTTGTGATGCATTTCTGCCACCTATGCCACCACGATGATCATTTCCACACTAATCGTAATATCTGTATTAATATCTATATTGCGCAGTCATACTAAAACCATCGCAACATGCCTCACAATTTTGTAGAAACGCTGTTGTGAAATTAGGCCGCAACAATCCTCAAAAATGCGAAATCCCGGAAGGACTTCACAGTCCTTATAGTTCCCTTCAGTGACAGTAAGGACTCTAGCTCAAACTATTAAAAACAGCCCCTGTCAAAAGTACACCAAAGTATGTAGTTGTCCATATACTTTTGGCCTGTGACAGTTGTTGCGGAACACAACAGCAGGAGCTAACAGCTCAGAGCTATCCTCTCAGCAGGTACCAACATCTGTGAAAATGTTTTCCTAGACTTAACTCTAAATTCCTTTTTCTTCCCCCCTACTCTCTCCTTCCAGATCCTGCTAAGACCCATTGAAGTAAGCAAGCTTTATATTAGTTTAAACATAGTTTGTTCTGTATTACCCAACTTCAGCCTTCCATCCCTGTACAAACACACCCACCCTGCCACGGTTTCGAGAAAAGCATTAGCCCTGACCAGAGGAGGCTCACAAATCTTCCCCTGTTAAATTGATGCTATTACCTGTGCTCAGCTCAAAAGGTCAGTCTCTGTCTCTGAAAACAAAGAGCATCTGTCTGCATCTGTTGATTATGCCTACAGCAATCACTGCAAAAAGTAGCATCTTGTCGGGATGTTGCTTTGATCAAAAAAGCTTGTTTGTCTTAATTGACACATCTTTTTGTATGTTTTAAAAAGTATAAAGCTCTCATCACTACAAAGGTTCCACACTGTGCTTTCCCCTGTTTATCTTCATTCCCCCACCGTGAAATAAGAGGAATGAACTGGGCCGCTGGAAAGATCAATATGCTGTTCCTGAACTAAACTTTAGCTGAGAGGAGAGACAAGAGGGGGAGATTGAAATTCAACTCATGCAGCACGGAGGCAGAAACACCAAAAGAAAGGAAGGAAAATGTGAGATTATATGTATGGACTTAAGGAACCCTATTATGGAAATATAACATGTGTGTAAGAATCAAACAAGAAATGCTTTCTGCATTTAGCAGTTTTTCCCCCCGGGGTCTATATGCAGAGAGAAAGATTAAAAGACTGGACAAACATCTGTTTGTCAAGTCTTGTTTCTTTTGCTGCTACACTGTGACGCATCTGAGAGAGAAACTGCATACCACACACTCCCAAAC